GTATTCATTTGTATTTTGTAATTATTTGTATTATTTCTGAGGAATATTTATACTTATCGATTTTTTATTTGTTACAAAGAAACGAAGAATGAAGTGGTTTTTGTTGCATCTTTATTAGGTCTTGTTGTATTGGTGCCTCTACGTTCAATTAATTATTGAGGTGCAATCGCATGATTATGTCATAGTATGTGGTGACATTTTGGATAGATCGCTGCTCAGACTTGGACTTTAGTGTATCGAGTTTTGATGTACATCATTTATCAATGATAGTTCATCGACAATTTTTTTGATATGCAGTCACTCTGATCCCCTCTGGCGACCATAATCCTTAGCGTTAAAACAAAAGAACGTTTCAGCGTGAAGTAATTATGCGATAGGGCAATTGAATTTTAATTGACGAATATTACAACTGGTCCGTGCAAAAAGTACTGCCAAAATTATGAAAGTTCTAAATGTTAGTTTAAAAAACAATTTTTTTTTGCTCAGTACTCTGGCATCTTTACATTGCAAAAAAATCAGTTTTTCCGTCAACTCCAGAAAGCTGGTCTGAAGTGAACTTGGCAACAACATATCTCCATCCTTCTTTTTGTGGCTTCAGGGTCACTCTGATTGATGCCTCCTTTTGTGGTTCAACAGGATTTCTAGAAACAAGATTCACCTTTTAATTTTCTTAGATAATAGTCTCCTTCACAGTACCCTGCGCCATCTTGAAAGGTAACCGTGCCTTTACATCAAAGCGAGACGACCGTTGAGCGTGCAGTGATAGAAACCTGTGAATAATTGTCTATAGGTGTTTAAGAAGGTTTCTATCATTGCACGCTCAACGGTTGTCTCGCATCGATGTAAAGGCACACCTACCTTTCACGATGGCGCACCTAACCGTGAAGGAGACTATTCTTTTCAGGTTTGAAATTTATTATTCCATTTTTCAAATATCAAATAAATCACACGGGCCTTACCATCTGCGAACAGGAATTGCTGTTGTCATTGATTATTTAAAAATGGCAACTTTTGTGCATTCATGACGATAACGATAAAGATGATCTTTATTAGAATAGATATACATACCAAACCTGTTCCTAACTTACTCAAGAGTTTCCGTTATTGTGTTGGGGCTGACGTAGTGAGAGGTCTCGATGTTGAAAACGCAATTGTTGAGCGCTATTTTAAGTGGATTCGTGAAGGAAACTGTCAAGTCAAAACTTGAATTCGCGAATACTGTCTTTTGGCCATACTAAAAGAAGCAATTTTGAATAAAYCACTCGATCGATCTTGCCATAAATAATCGAGGACAATGGTTAAGAAACCTTTTGTTGTATTTCTTTTGTACATAATTTGTATGTATATATTCTGTGTACAACTTGTACAGTGTACAACTTTTCTCTCACGGACGATGGAAAGTACAAAATGAGTGAAACATAAACACTCTCTATGAGATTATGAAATATTTCAATATTAGTTAAAACATTTTTGAGCATCTTGAAGAAATAACAGAAAGGATAATTTTCGCTCTGTTCATTCAGATGTGACCAGTATGGCTAAAACAATAGTTAAACAAAAGATTGTGCACTGTTATGCTTGGAAAAAAGTTCACAAAAACCTACAACAGAAGGCTTCATAACCATTTCCCTCCACAAACTATGATCTTGCAAACTTAATAACATTACATCATCCATACCTCAAATTTAAGCCCAGGTTTCATTAGTTCAATCACTTCAATATCGTGAAAAACCTGCTTGGTTTCCTTGACTTTTGCAGTCAAAAACGCCTTGATAATTGTTTCTGCAGGACTTATGCCAATGTATTTGCTTGCTGGAACTGGCAAAGACACTGTTACCTCTGAAAATAKAATATTTCCAATTTATTTTTGGAACAGGTGCAAGAAATATCATTTACCACCCTTTCATGTCTAACCATGAACAAATAGAATTCACGACCAGGATACAGGAAAGCAATATTTTGCTTTAGTCTGAGCATCATGACATTCAGCAACCTCTGAAAGTTGGCCAAAGTACTGTTGTACTAGTGATGCTGACGTACTTTTTTACGGTGTTAAATTTATCTATTTGCACAATTGTTTCTTTAGAAACACCGACACAGCTCACACTAGTTTACTGCTAGTTCCCACTATTTAGAGGTTTAAACATTATTTATCATCTACAGAAGTTCTTTTGGCACCATGTATTCTCCTAGCTTATTTTCAACAGACCGAGGGATCGGTCTTGCTATAGCTATTTACGATCCTGCAATAAATAACCAATTACCTTTCGTTGATTGTAATTCGTACGTTTTCTSCAATTTGTCCAACTTCACGGCAGTGATCCCATTATAAAATGCCGTCTTCGTTACTATGGTAACATCAACGGTCCTTTTTCCAGGACGTTTGCTTTTCATTTTCAACTGTACGTCAAAGTCATTTCCAACCATTAAGCCGGCATCTGGTGGCACGAATTTGAAGTCCACATCTCTGATTGCATTAAGATCGTAGATTTCAGTGTTTCTCCTGGAACTCATCTTGTATGCCCTTCTCACCGCAGCCCTCTCGGGAGGTGTTCCTTTTAGATTAATTTATAAGCACAATTCCATCAATAACTTTCTTGTAGTTTTTTTTTGGGGAGAGGGGGAGGGAGGGGGAAAGTAATTGTGTGTGATTAGGGTGAAAATGAAAGTAGCCAAGTTTTTACTTATGAATATAGACATCAACCACTTTTTATTTTATAGGGGGTCGGGTCGGGGGGGGGGGGCAGCATGCGAGTACAAAGCTCTTTATTAAGATATTCATGCAAAAAAATATTTTCTAATATTTTGCAGTACTTATATAATTTATAGTAACATAATAAAGAAATGTAATATAAAATTATAAATAAATGACCTTCAAGTAGACAGAGTAGAATTTATTTGTATTTATATTTGTATTTGTATTATTATTTGTTTTTGTTATTAAAAAAAGATATTCAAGCAAAGCTAAAAAACGCTAGTACGCTGCCAATTTGAATGTAACTCTAGTCATGTATAAGAAATTATCAAATCACGAGACTCTATAAGGATTCAAAATAATGAAAACAGATCGTTATACATGTAAACTATACCTTCATCATGTTTATAGTGATAAGTCACGTCACTGCGATATTCGCTTCCAACTGCCTTGGTACTGATCTTTTTCCCAACTGAAAACTTGTCAATTGTTGTCACTTCCATTTCTCCGTTGTTATCCACGTCCCAGTACACGCGATCTCCATTGACTTCTCCGAAAACAAATCGAGTGTCGTAGGGAACGTACACCATTCCTTCTTTGATGGCTTTGACAGGGGCTGGGCCACAGCAAAACACTCCTAAAAAAATAAATAAATAAATGTGCCTGTGTCAATTTATAAAGTGTTTCAGTTTTTTTAGCAAAACGTGTGTGGTCTTTAAAGACTCGCGCATCAATGACCCTAATCATCGGATGCCACCGACAACAATGCATTCATAAACAAATTTCATCAAAACATCTTAAAATTCGATTACACACTGCTTCGTCTACGTCTTCGTCTACTCCTACGTACAGAGAAAWCTTACATCTTAAAAATTGTTYCAAAAAAATATCATACACCTGAAGGATTACTGCAAGACTCAAAACGTCGTGGTTGTGCTTCTGTGTGATGTAATATTTGTCTTAAAACACAAAATCTAAAGCGATTTTGCGATTTTAGCCGTTTTAAGTGATTTTGAGATTCCTTTTGGGTCCCAAGGTAAGCCTTAACAAGTTTTGATAGAAAATATCACCTTGGCTGGTTTCTTGCGGTGTTGCATCCATCGCTTGCCATCCGTCATACTGACGAGGAAGATCTCGTCTATTAAAAAAGCTTTCATTCCAGACATGGAAATTCCTGTAGTTAAAAAAAAATCCTTACAGATTAGTAGACATTCAGCACTCARAACTCAATGACCAAACGTCAAGTGTAGGCGATTACAACACTGRCAATGTACTCGATCCAAAAGTTATGTCATTCTTACCAAACAAAATCGGTATTCAAATAATCAATGGGCTCTCCGTTGATGAAATGGAAGTCAATGGTAGWGCTTTCGTCCGTATCGCGACCAGATGAAAAGTTGGTGATGCAGCGTGTTGGGATCCCTATGGCACGACAAACTAAAACGAAATGACAATAGTCCATATCRCATCCCGCGGAAAGCCTTGTGACGCAGTGCATTTTGGGATTGATAAATGAGTAAACAAGTTAACAACGATGTCAGTGCTCCAGTTGTCTGTAACGTAGACTCAGTTTTCGAAAAACWTTGGGAAATATTGATATTGTAGTTAATCTCAGAAGCGAAGAAACAAACAAATATCAACATGCAAGGAAATACAGCAAGAAAAACCTACAAAAAATGTACAGGGCTGTACAGTTAATACAGAATTTCCATTTACTAGGCAAAAATGAAAAAGATGAAAACAAACAAATGTTGTCTGTRGAAAAATCGAAGCTAATTAGTATTTTTACGATTTTAGCGATTTGTTTTGATGAAGAAAGGGAGATATATATATCCCATGATACATCKCAAAACCATTCAAAATGGCGGACTTGTGATATGGACTATGGCAATGCAGATATTTGATGAATTATTCATAAATTAACACATACACTGTCATAAGGCCAAGAGAAATTAAAGAAACTATCGAAAATAATTTTTTATCATTTTGTCMTCTGAAATCCTTCATTAGTTTATTCAGCGTTTTGTTTGTTTATTAATTTATTTATTTTATTTCGTTTGTTCTTTTTTTTCTTTTTGTTTATGCCTCCACAACAACAACACAGCGCAATATAATCATTACATGCGCAATGGAGACTAATGAATGTCAATAATGCATGATATCTATTCAAGTTATTYAATTAAACTTACGTGTTGTAACCAAACCAGCAAAGACCCAGCATTGACCGTAYTTAACACCTTCTCTTTTATCTTTTAAGTTGTTGTACTTTTCCAAAATTTTTACGCTTCCAGCCCAATCTCCAGGGCTTGTGTAAGGGTGAAAGGTACAGGGAGTGTCTTTGTCTAAGCACCATTTACCTACAAGAATTCCGCYGTCTTGATCTTTAGAGTTAACCTTAAATAACGAAAGGAGTAAATCTTTACTTTTTCACTGAACACTGTATTTATTCAATCATGCACATGCATCAAMGATTTAATGAAATAGTTTGTCCGATTTATTTATTTAGTCAAAGATTTTGAATTTCTCTCTCCGAGAGTCTTATTAAAGTTGGTGACATGATAATATGCTTTTCAATGACTGTTGTCTTCTTCCATGCCGGAAGAGAATTTAAAAATCTTCTTTTCATTTTTTTTTTCATTTCATTTATTCAATTCATTCATTTTATTTTCACAATGAAACTCTTGTTTTAAATGGGAGCTTAACAATTCACAAGCTAAAGTTCTGTCTAAGCCGTAGACCCTCGAAGGAAGTTTTGATTTAAATACTCGTAAAATTGGATTCTGTCAACATTGAGTAGTTTTCTAATTTAGTCCTCTGTCTCATCTATACCAAATTAGGAAAACTTAAATTCATAAGACACTTTTCGCCTGAGTTTACATATAACTAATACAATGCAAAAAATTTTAACAACAATCGAAGAGAGAAATAAACTATTCTATTCTATTTAATCCATGGATCCCTAACATATTTAGCTRTTTGTTTTATAAATAGAATTTGTTTCGTCTGATGTGATCATGAGCTGTCTCTTGTACAAACGTGCGCAATATATTTACTTTTTTAAGCTTAGTTATCATTAAATGTTTTTAAATAGAGTCCGTGTTTTGTTTATTACACATTGAATTCAAGCCGTTGCTTGCAGACCTAAGCTGACYATTAAAATGCAATGTCAATTGAGGGCACGAATGTGCGCACTCGGGGTGATCAGAGTCCGATTATAATATAATTTCACAGTAAAATCTTTACATTTACCCTTGAAATTACTCTCTATCCTTGAATGTTCTTACCATCTTTGTGATAAACCTTGAAACCATTACAGGATCTCCTCTAGACTGAATCCCCAGGTCTTTGGAAATGTCCAGAACATACAGACATGTCTTCAGTGAAACGTCTTCAAACTGAAAATAGAAAATTAATTTGGTCATTCGATATAGTGTTATAAATATATATTATAAATATGTTTAAAGTGCTRCTTGCATGAAAATGGCCTTATTTCAAAACTTCAAGCAATACAAATATATGACTCATTTATATCTATTAAAAACAATTGCGGGAAAATATTTATTTTGGAATTATCCCACACCAGAGAAATTTTGATTCAAAAGATGGAAGAACAAAAGGATTGAGTAGATGACGTCATCTACTCCAACATTTTTCGCCCAAATTATTAAGGATTTGTAYCAATATCTTCTTAAAATCTGTTGCTTCATGATTATTAGACCCATATGGATAGGTCTATTTGATTTCGAAGTCTTTTCTAATGTTTCGCAATTTTCGTCCAAGTAGCCCTTTAAATCAACACTTTCAAATAACTTGTGGTTCTCATATTATTGCTCCTCCTACCTGGCCAAAGTTCCATGGTATCCCATGGTTATAGTATTTATTTCCGATCCAAATATTACCGATAGGGTTCAATACATACTCCTGACGTTCTAGTTCGTCCTTCATGTGCACGGCGTCTTCTGTAATAAAAAGAAAGGAGAAAATTCAGATCAATTCATACCGCGTAAGACATTACGTTGATTGTCGTTCCTGTCTGTTACCGAAGCTATTTAGTGGACAAGATTATATGCTGCATAACATTGAACAAATGCTGATTTGGAGCTATCATCTTCTGGCACTATTTATAGACTACATTATTATCTTGAACAAATTAACTGAGTTATTCAAAGGTATGTTTGCGTYTSCGGTTCCCCAATGTTCTTCCATTACCTCCATCCCACTGTGATATGGTCGATAGGTATCCTGGCCCACTATATATTATAAAATCCCGATCGTCTTTTGGATTTACCTTGACACCAAGCATTAAACAAGACAATCATTYTGTCATCTTTGCCTGGATCTCTTCTAAATGTCAAGTATTCAGGAGTCGATCCGGCAGATTTCTTGGTTTTTGTCTCTACATAGACTTTGTATTYGCCAACCAAGGCATTGGCAGGAGATATGATTGTTAAGGTCACATTGTTACCATTGGATTCCTTAACGTGCATRCCCCAYATTGAATTAGACAGCTGCGTATTTTTGTCTTTGAGACGAATGGTRGTGTTCTTGCTTTCTWTAGGACGGGTTCCTTGGATAGAAACAATACAGGAGAATCAAAATCAATTGACTAAATAATCAAAGCTACCACAAAACCGGCGCTTTTGGTTATTCAAAAACGAACTCGCCTTCCTTAATTTATTCTTTAATAAGGCCTTAAGGAATATCGCGAGATGCCCAGTGCAACATTGAAAAAATACTCTCTTTCGGAAGGTTTCTTCAAGATACAAAAAACAAAGAAGACAGAAGAAACAATACTAACGGAATGATTAATGAGATCACCCTATAAAGTGTGGCCTGCATCCAAAAAGTCACTTATGTTTGATGTTTCTCCATTGCACATAATGYCATTGGGCTCCWTTGGTCGTAAAGTCCATCATTACGTGTAAAAAGAATGGAAAATTGTCCTAAAAATTCRGTTATCAGGTATATATGATTGATGTTGACTTAATCATTTTCTTTACTCTATTGGTCCCCAATAAATCACAGATGGTAACATCAACTAGCAGTAAAGACAATTTCCCTGCTCCATTTTGATCATTTTAAAGAATCATAACCAACCGCCGTACCTTGCGAGCCGAAGCGCCATTTTAGGTGGACACGAAAATGGCGGATTYGTAGGATTTCTTAAAGTGAGCGYGAATCGTCTTYYRTCCTTTCAGTTTGGRYAGAAATACCWTTAACYAAGTACYWCACARGTACTATCAATCTATARTYTATTGTATGCTTGACGCATTTAAACGTATGTAAACAATAACACGAGCGTGCAAGGTACGGCGGTTGGTTATGATTCTCTAAGCTCAAAAGGTTGTCTCTCTTAGAAACATAGAAATATCTAGCTTTCAAAATTGCATTTCATCCTTTACCATATGTAAGCAGCAGAATCAGTTCGTCCTTCTYAGGATCGTAAGCACGATCAAAAGTCACTTCCACTTGAAACTCTTGTCCTCTTCTGACCACAAGTCCATAAACACGTTCATTGTACTCAACTGTATGGTGTTCCCTGCTGTTTTTCTCGACATGGTAATCAATTTGCTCTGGCTTTAGCGCTAGGGGAAAATAATCATTTGTGTCGTTAACATGTTTTAGTTGGCATTCCTGCTCAATCTTTGCTTTTTAACATGCAAATAAAATRTCAGTCATACTTTTTTCATCTTTGAATTTTCATAATATTTACTTTTTCCTGGGCTTTTACTAATTGTTTTATTGTGGACATAACTTCCAAAACACGACAAGTGTGACACGAGAAATGTTTTACCTTCAGTTGGAGTCAATGCAGAACTGTTGGAGGGCGTGTTGGGATCATTGAACAGGTCCCAGCCTGGAATACGACGTATGGACATGTTGAGATCTACGACGAGGTCAGTGTAAATTCTTAATACTGCTCCACCAGCTGCGTTACTCTGCCTCCGTGCTGTTCTTTCTTTACTTTCTCTCCACGAATGCTTGGCATAAACTAGAATAGAACTTAGAATTAACAGGAGAATTGAGAATACTGCATAAAAGGTATTCGGTAATAATATAATTGTAAATGAGATTGAATGGTGTGAACCCGGCTGTAAGCAATGTAGGTGAACGTACATTGGAGCTCATCAAGACCTTTTGATATTCTTAATGATTCTGATAATTAACGAGTTTGATACTGATTAGKATTATTTATTAATTTCACATTTTTTAAACTTAAAAATTTGTATGACCGATATTTTTTATATGATTTTTTATATGATGTTTAAATGAAACTTATATATAATCATCAGAACGTATTTTAAGAATAGTCGTCGTCTATTCTCTTTGATTACTACCATGAAAATAAAAAATAGGAGCTTCAGCTTCTAAATTAGTGGATTACTATGTTATTATGTTTAATATAATTATAAACATCACTTTTTAGCTATCTAAATTGCAATATATAATTTTATTAACTTGCAACATATATACGATTGAATACCCATTTATTAATACGAACTATAATCATATGGGTGACTATCAGGTATCAATAAAAATATCGTCTATATATTCTCGTTATTTTCATTGAATCGATGACACCTATTTCATTAACTTCGAAACTAGCTTGTTGTACCAAGAAATTGTATTTATAAGTAAGATAAGGTCGATATTCGCTTAATGAATATAATTTTTTGCACTTAAAACTCTGAAAGCAGTCATTCTGCAAGGTAGGAAGAGAAGGGAAGCTATGTTTAAAATGACAAAGGGGAAGGGGGCGGGGGGTTGGAATAGCGGAGATCAGTGACGACTTTCAGTATTCAATATTGCACAAAAATAACAAAAATCCAGCATTACMCTCCGATATGCTAATGCCAGCCGTKGTAAATACATACGCGGTATAATCGCGATAAAGACCTTTGTGAAGTGGTGCTTTTAGAACTGCGGAATGCGGAAATGTACTCAAGTAGAACATTTTTTATACGTTCTGAAATTACAAAGACAGTCCAGAAAAAACGCTATCTCTTTGATCCAGATTAAAGCTTTCTTGAGCTCAGAATATGCCATTTTGTACCCAAGAAAGCTCGATTTATAGTGCAACACATAATCTATTTTTGTTGCATACAGCACTGATTCATATCGAGGGAAAGAAAAACTTGRMTACAAGATTAGATCGTGTGGTTCATTTTCATGTTGTTGACCTTGTTTACATTATTCTCAAAAGTACATAAATATCTCATATACTTTTGCACTCAATATAATAAACTCAAACTCGAAAACCAGCAGTTCCTTTTCTTAAAATACATCTTTATTAGCTGGTATTCGGCCGTATTGTGAGAAACAGAAATTGCGTGAAAACACGGCAAATTATTTGACTCAATCGTATATGTTGCAAGTTAATAAAATTATATATTGCAATTTGGATAACTAAAAAGTGATGTTTATWATTATATTAAACATAATAACATAGTAATCCACTAATTTAGAAGCTGAAGCTCCTATTTTTTATTTTCATGGTAGTAAAATCAAAGAGAATAGGCGACGACTATTCTTAAAATACGTCTGATGATTTTGTATAAATTTCATTAAAAGTAGTGTTTAAAAAACGAGCAGGAGTGCTTTATCGGGAGATATAGACACGAGGCCAAAGGCCGAGTGTCTATATCCCCGATAAAGCACGACTGCGAGTTTTTTATACTACTTCTAGAACTCCAACATCCAGAAATTGTTATCATTTTAGGAAAAAGCTAAAAAATGCGAAAACAGAGATTATGCATGTTAAACTTCTACTGAGCATGTGCATTTGTCACAAATGAAAGAATTTTGATCCCACACGTAAGAACGGCTAGTCTATGCTATACTGCATATCTGCACATTGATTCAAACTGATTTAAAACCTAGCAAAGGTCTATGATGCGACATTAAAACTGAGACCTTTGCTAGTGTTGGGTTGCGATAAAGCGCTGATGACCTTCAACACATCAGTTCTTTATATCTGATATAGAACTGATTAATAAAACATCAGTGCTTTATCGGGATATAAAAGTCCATCATGTGACCCAATAGTTGGATTCTGATTGGGCTAATAGGTCATGAATTATTAATGAGTTCTAGAACATCATATAAAAAATCATATAAAAAATATCGGTCATACAAATTTTTAAGTTTAAAAAATGTGAAATTAATAAATAATCCTAATCAGCAGYTCCTACCGATGCAATTTTCCACTGACCCCACAGACGTAAATTACAAACCTCATATTTTTGTCTCCTGAAGTTTATTATGCGGGAATAGTCTCAAAATGAAGTTAGAAGCGTAAACAGATAGTGTTCTCAAAACCTAGCAGCAAGCTTCTTATACAAGGTTTGCATATTAATATATATATTCAAGGTTAGACTTTCATTACCAGAAATAACAGTAATGCTTAGTAAAAAAAAGTTTCCGAAGAAAGAACGCAGTATTTCTAAAATACTCTMTGTTTCACCCCCTTGCCGAGAAACAGCTGAGCTTGTTTCATGTATATATGCTAAAATAGAGTGAAAAAAATCAGGAAGGATTGCAAATATGAAGGATAACTAYCTATAAKRWWA